CTACTCTCACTCTCATCTTGTCAAGTTCATGTTCTTGGTAGTATTCCGGTTATCATTTGGCTGTTCATCTTCCCATGTGCTTGTGCTTTCATTCTCATCTTGTCAAGTTCGTGCTCTTAAGTAGTATTCCGGTTCTCACTTGGCTGTTCAACTTCTCATGTGCTTGTGCTTCCATCACTCATACTCTCATCTTGTCAAGTTTGTGCTCTTAGTAGTGTTCCGATTCTCACTTGGCTGATCAACTTCTTATATGCTTTCACTCTCATCTTGTCTAGTTCATGCTCTTGGTAGTGTTCCGGTTCTAATTGGTTGTTCAACTCCTCATGTGTTTGTGCTTTCACTATGCTCACTCTCATCTTGTCAAGTTCATGCTCTTGGTAGTATTCCGGTTCTCATTTAGTTGTTCAACTTCTCATGTGTTTGTTCTTTCACTACTCTCATGTTCATCTTGTCAAGTTCATGCTCCTGGTATTGTTCCGGGTCTCATTTAGCTGTTCAACTTCTCGTGTGTTTGTGCTTTCACTACTCTGACTCTCATCTTGTCAAGATCATGCTCTTAGTAGTGTTCCGGTTCTCACTTAGCTGTTCAACTTCTCATCTGCTTGTGCTTTCAATCTTTTCACGTTCATGCTCTTAAGTAGTATTCCGGTTCTCACTTTGCTGTTCAAATTCTCATGTGCTTATGCTTCCATCACTCATACTCTCATCTTGTCAAGTTTGTGCTCTTAGTAGTGTTCCGATTGTCACTTGGCCGATCAACTTCTCATGTGCTCTCACTCTCATCTTGTGAAGTTCATGCTCTTAGTAATGTTCGGGTTCTCACTTAGCTGTTCAACTTCTCATGTACTCGTGTTTTTCATCTTGTCAAGTTTATGCTCTTAGTAATGTTCTGATTCTCTCTTAGCTGTTCAACTTCTCATGTGCTGGTGCTTTCATTACTCATGTTTTCACCTTGTTAAGTTCGTGCTCTTAGTAGTGTTCCGGTTCTCGCTTGGCTGTTCAACTTCTCATATGCTTGGGCTTTTACTACTCACGCTCTCATCTTGCCAAGTTCATGCTCTTGGTGGTGTTCCGGTTCTCACCTGGCTGTTCAACTTCCCATGTGTTTGTGCTTTCATTCTCATCTTTTCAAGTCATGCTCTTGGTAGTGTTCCGGTTCTCACTTAGCTGTTCAACTTCCCATGTGCTTGTGTCTTCACTCTCATCTTGTCAAGTTCATACTCTTAGTAGTGTTCCGATTCTCACTTGGCTGTTCAACTTCTCATGTGCTTGTGCTTTCACTCTCATCTTGTCAAGTTCAAGCTCTTTGTAGTGTTCCGGTTCTCACTTGGCTGATCAACTTCTCATGTGCTTGTGCTCAAACTCTCATCTTGTTAAGTTCTCGGTTTTGGTAATATTTCGGTTCTCACTTGGGCGCTACTATTGTGGGATGGTTGACCGGCATTTGGCTACCACTACGGAAGGATGATTTGATTAGGACTAGTTGCCCTTCTGTCTCTCTCTCTCTCTCTCTCTCTCTCTCTCTCTCTCTCTCTCTCTCTCTCTCCCCCCCTCTCTTTTTCTCTCTCTC